CTTCATGCACCCCTCAGTCTGCTTGCTACAGGACACCGTGTCTGTGGGGGTGGTCCGCAGACCGACTGCAGCATCACCCAGGAGCAGGTTGGAAGTGCAGAATCTCAGCCCCCCGCCACACTGACTGAATCATGATTTCTGGGGTCGGGACCCAGGACTCCATGTCCAAATAGGCCCGCCATAAGATTCGGACGCTTGCCAAAGCTTGAAAAACATTGTTACTAGGTTGAAGGAGAGAGAGGGTATGTGCCGCCATGTCCCTCTTCTTGGCCCACCTGACCCGGCACACCCCGACCCCATCCCTGGCCTGCCTGGGGCCGGGGAATATGCTGTGAGATGGGGTGGGCCCAAGGAGGGGGCAGAGGTCTTGTCGTGGGGAGGAAGGAGCAGGTAGCTGGTCTGCCCCTTCCTGTGTCAGCAAAGCCTGCGGATGTTGTGAGGGGATCTGGAGATAAGCTTCACAGGTGCACAAGAGCTGGGCAGAGAGGTCTCCTCCCAACCTGGGCAGCTTCTCTGCACCCTGGCCACGCCCTGTGGAGACGGCAGGGAGGCTTCCCAGCAGGGGGCCCAGCTTCCACTCACATCCATCCCCTCTGCTGAGATCTCGGTCGGCCCCTCCTCTGGAGAATCTGAGACTCACCCTGAGTGGCTGGAACACAAGAGATGAACCTTAGAGATACAGTGCTCGTGATAAGAGCTGCCGTGATAAGCCTGGTCCTGCTGCCTGTTCTCAGCAGGGCCTGATGCAAGGTACCTAGAAGCAGCTGTTCACACACGCAAAGGTGGGGGGGGGGGTACTGCACGTATTGAAGGAGAGAGCTGGGGACTCCAAAGAGCTCCAAACGAGGTGCAGCAAGGCCAAGTGACAAAGCCTGCGCCTGTCCAGGTAAACCGACCACTCAGGACCAGGATCCAGGGAATGTGGGCTGGAACCAGACTGAGGCATTCCATTGGCTCACGGTGGGGACCTGGCCAAAGCGACAGGAGAGGTGAAGTAGGGAAGTGACAACCCGCTGGGTCCCCAGTGGGGCCTGGGCACCACATTTGGAAGGGTCGTAGAGAACTGGGGTCTTTCCCCCAAAGTTACCATGTTGTCATGGAATGCACACCTGGAGGACCAGATCTTTGGTCTGGAAAAAAGACAGTTGTGGGGAAGCGACAGGAAAACCGCCTGCAAATGCCCAAGAGAACTGTGAGGGGAGGAGAGGGCAGCCACGCTCAGCCCAGGGACGCCTCCACCTCCCCAGGGTCCTGCCCCGCTCGGGCCACACTCAGCAACATGGCAGCGGCCAAGTCCTTACACAGCCTCAGTCCAACCCCAGTCCTGGATGTGAGAGTAAGGGCCAGGCTGTGCAGTCAGGAAGCCCTGAGTTTCAGTCCTGTCCTTGCACCAGGCACGCTCTCCTTGAGTCACCTGACACCAAACCCCAGCCTCCCCCAGCCTCGGGTTTCCTTGTGGGTAGAATCTGGATGTTCATCCCTGTGGGGGGAGGGGGGTGGGGCCCTAACGAGCATGCATTCACACATTCAGCATTCACACGTTCAGCAAACGCTCAGTTTGTGAGCACCAAGCAGCACAGAGCACTGTCCTAATGCAGACCATCACCCCCCAGTGCTGCTCCAGGGAAGTAAATGAGCACCCAGGAATAATCCAGGGGAAAACACTCCAGGGAGGAGAGGTGCAAGGGGAAAGACCTCGGAGTGCATGCAGCGGTAAGAGTCCGTCTTACTTCCAGTGGATTTCCGGGGGGGGGAGAATTGAGGGAAAATAAAGTCAGAGTTCAAGCAGGGCCAGGGAGTGTAGCATATTTGAAGCCCCTCTAAATATATTTTCAACTCGTTCATTTGCTATCTACCTCTGTCTCTCAAAAAAAGTTTGCATAAGCCATTTCCTGATTTTTGTTTTTTAAGGCATATAAATAACTCCCTCACAATGGACAAGAAAGATATACATTCTTTCACCCCCCCAAACCCTGCTAACATGTCCTCCCCATAAAATTTTTGCTGAAATAATTGCTCTTCTTTTAAAAAAAATTTCATGTTGAATAAAAGCAACAAATAAACAAACCAACCAAGCGGCACCCAGGAGGGGGCCGGCATGTAGTAAGTGCTCAGTTAGTGTGCGGGGTGACTCTCACTATCCTTTCTCTGCTTGTCTCTGATGCTGGTCCCGAGCAGAGGGCCATGGGGACTGTCACTGCCTCTCCACAGCAGCACCCTCGTCTGGGTGGAGTGGCAATGGCTCACAGAACACCTGATCCATATCTTCGGTAACACGGTTTCCTTCAGTCAGCAGATCCCACGTTACAGAAATAAGCCCGTGTTGCCAGCTCAGCACTCCTCCCGGTGTGCACGCACACACAGCTGCCCACGGGGCAACGGGCCACATGGCACCTCTCGGTGCACAGAGCCGGGTCAGTGTGAGGAAGGGGCGAGCGGCGCCCACGTGTGGGGCACAAGGCAGCCAGGCGTGCCAGCTCTGGACCTGCCCCCTGGCTCTCTGCTGTGTAGATGTGCGACTTTGGGCAGGTGCCTCAGCCTTTCTGCTTTGCTTACCTGCGGGGAAACTGTGGGAGATGCCTTATAAAAGGGTGGTGTCTCTGCAGTCAGGCAGCCCGCGTGGGGAACCCACCTCTGCCACCTCTTTACTGTTTATTTCTTCTATTTACAAGGCCTCTCTGTGCCTCAGTCTCTTTATGTGCAAAGTGGGAGTAACAACAATAGCGCCTGTGTCCCCGGATCGTTGTGAGGATTGCACGGGTTGGTGTACCTGGAGCGTTTCAAAGAGTGCCTGGCCCAGTAATTGCTCACCCCCGTGTTTCAGGTGGATTCCTCCAGGGCTGACTCGGAGACAAGGACTTAAGTGCAAATTGTCTGTTCACAAAAGGACCCCAATAAGGACCTACAAGTGAGAAACTGAGGCAGGGACAGGAAAGAAGCCAGAAGAGGGTGCGTGAATGACCAGGTTACCTTAGCAGACATGTGGGGCTCAGTCTTTCTGGGTCCTGTGGGGGACCGCAGAGAACCCCCTCCGTATCCTTTCACCAGAAGGCAACAGGTTTGGGGTGTTTGCAGTAGAAAGCAAAGAAGTCTAAGAGAACAGGGTCCCAACTCCAAATGCCACACCAGGCTTTTCTGGAAAAATTCAGGGGTCTCCCTGGGACCCTGCACACTGACAATGACAAACAGCTCAGGTGGGAGTGGAGGGCTCTGGGCCAGAGTTCACTTGATGCCTATGTCGACCATGTGTCTCCACACAAGATTCGAGGGACACCCAAAGGGCCCCTGTCCGTAAAACATCTCCTCTCACACCACCCTGGCAGATTACCCTCTGAAGTACTTTAAGCGGGGCTGGGATATGATCCCATGGGCATCTGAGAGCCACCCCTCTGGCTGAGGACAGGAGCTCAGGAAGCAGGGAGCTGAGGGGACCGGGGCCAGGGGCAGTGCGGTGCCCTCCAGAGCACATGGTGGGTGTGGTTCTCAGCAGCTGGCCTTTCAGGTCTCCAAGCAAGTGCAGGAATTTAAGGAACTGAGAGTCAGGGGCTGCAAGAGCTGGGCAAGAATGGGTTGAGCTGCTTCTGCAGTGGGGAACTGCACCGCCGGGCAGGGCACAGAGGCAACGCCTCCCTGCAGGGCCTTCCTTGGCCCAGGACCATGAGGAGGCTGAGGCAGGGACTAACACACGATAACAGCACAGGGCACTTGGAAGGACGTTGGAGAAACCCTGCTGTCACCCTGCCCTCAGGGAGGCCTTTCAGCAGGCGGAACTCATCAAGACGCACTGTAGATGCCCTGTGACGCCAGCCAAGGAGTAAGAGGTGTTAAGGGGTTCTCCATCTACTTTTCATTCCCCCAGAACCTTTGTCTGAAACCTCCTCCTTGATCAGCGGTCAAGACAGGCTGGGCTCCATCTGACGCTGCTTAGTGACTCGGCAGGTGGAAGCTGTGCTCAGCTCTGGAGCCCCAGGCATCTGTCCTGACCATCCTCCTCTGGCCCCTGAGCACCCTTGGACGACTTCCCAGGCCCTCTCAAAATCCCTCCGCTGGAGAAACAATGGTTTCTTAAAGAAGCCACTGGGACAGCGAGTCAGGAGTCCTGGGGTCCCAGAGGTCCATTCCTGGGCCGTTCCAAGAACAACACTGGAGAACTGGATATAGTTGGGCAACTTCCAAGATGCTTTTCCTAAGACTCATGAATGACTCAAAACTCTTCCTGGGTCTCACGAAAAAGAGGGGAGGAGGCAGGTTCACACACTGGGGCAAAGACCGCTGAAAGGAAGCTCAGACACCACCCGACCTGTTTATAGGGCAGGGCAAAAGGGACAGCTGAGAGGGTAGGCAGGATGGCTGGGACCTGGGTATGCCAGGACAAGGTGGTGCATCTTACCGGTACCTCAGCTTCACGCATAAATGTTGAAAAGAGGGAGCCACAAATTTGATACTTAAGCACAGGGTGGGGTAAGAGAAGACAAGGATGAACATATAACTCAAGACAAGAGATTTCCCACCCCGGGACCTGCCAGGGTAATGGTCACTCTGGCAGTCAGAAGTGAAGGTCATTTACATACACTGGCCTAGTGCAAAATCACCAACATTACACATGAAAAAACTGAGGTCCGCGGAGGTGGACACTCAATTGCACAGGAGTGAGTTAGCACAAAGTTTTCATCCAGCCTTGCCTACGGGATTCCTAGATCTTTTTTTCAAGTCTCTTCTCTCCAAGAAATGGGTCTCCCTTCCCCTCTCTGCCTGCACAAGCTCCACCCGCCTCCCCACCCCCCACCCCACCCCAAGACAGTGTTTGCAGGAAAGGCAAATGCAGATCTCAAGCTACAACTCAATCACAGGTAAATGGACCTCCAGGCTTTGCGCATGCGCCCAGTGAAGCCCCTCGGGCGATCAATCCCGCTTTTTCCGCCTGAAACTAACATGGCCGTGCTGGCAACAGCCTCTCCTGACAGAAACAAACGTGGCGTCGGATGACGTCATAGGACGGCGCCGGTAGTCCCAGAGACTCCACGTGGGCTCGGATTTGGGATGTTTTCCGGCTGGGCCATGGATACACCGCTGAGGCGCAGCCGGCGGCTGGGAGACCTAAAGCGTGAGTCTCCCGAGAGCCCCACCTCGGTTTTGCAGGCAAGACCGGCCCTTGTGGAATTCGAATCGAATCTAGAAACCAGGGAGCCCGCCTCTCCTCGGCATGAGAGGCAACCCGGCCTGGAGTTCCCGCAAAGTCAGCCGGAGACGTGTCCAGGTTCACCTCGTCTACGACCAGGGGTAGGCTCGGGGTCTCCCCGAAGGGATTCGAGCCCAAGATCCCCCCTGGATCCCCCCAGGTCCAGGCCTGCATCTGGCCTGGAGTCTCCCCGAAGACAACCAGAGTCGAGCCTTGAGTCCCCCCGACGTCAGCCAAAGCCAAGTGGGGAGTCACCAAAGTTCTTCCAGAACCAAGAGGAACCGGACGCGGAATTGGCCCACAGTAGGGAAGAGCTGGCCGGGGAGTCCCACCGACGTCAGCTGCAGCCGGGCCCAGGATCGCCAGAGCCTAACCCCGGTCAACAAGCGCCAGGTCCCGAGCCCTCGTCCCCGCTGCAGGACCTGACACCTCAGTCAGCTGACTCCACGCGGGGTCAGCGCCAGCCACCTCCAGCCGGGACTGGGGAGCCGGAGAAAGACGGCCAGTGGCCAAAGAAGCGAAAAGGATCTCCCGCCCAGGCCCCAGCGCCCAAGAAGTTGAAGGAGGAGGTGGAGATTCCTGTAATCCCGAAGGGAAAGCCCAAGTCGGGGCGCGTGTGGAAGGACCGCTCCAAGAAGAGGTGAAGTTGGGGGGCGGCGCAGCTGGGCAGGGTGGGGTTCTCTGTGGTACTGGAGCATCGGTGCAGCCTGGAGTCGGCTGCTGAGTTGTGGAGAACTCACACAAACTTGTCATTATCATCAGAATGTGTAAGATGCCCTGGCACCCCAGGGAGGGTGACAGCGTGGTTATTTTTGAGCTGCCTTCCTCCTCAGGGTCCCTCTGGAACTCTCCTGTGGCACCTCGTTGTGTTTTCATTCAGCAGGCACTTTGTCCGCCCCTTCTCGAGAGGGAGGCAGAAGCAAGTAAACCAGCCGTGACTTGATAAAATGCAATGAGGCCTGTCTTTGCCCACTATTATCTGTTAGGGTTGTTTGCCTTTGCGATTGATAACCTTAACAGATAATACAGGGCAAAGACACTGGGTATCTAGGGCAGTGCTAACCACTTTAGGAAGCTTCAGCCAGGGACCGGCCTTTCAAACAGAGGGACCAGCATGCATCATGGCATTTAATCTGCACATCAACCCTGTGAAGCAGCAGGTTTGTCCTCATCTTACATGTGAGAATTATCTTCATGTTACATATGAGGAAACCGAGGCTCTGCCGAGAAACCCGGTGTGAACAGACCACAGGAGGTCTGGGGTGAAAGCAGAGAAACCGGTAAGGAGGCAGTTGCAGAAGAATTAAAACACCTTCAGAAGCTGGAGTCAGGTCTTGTGGACGAGGGTCAATAAGTCATTGAATTGATGTTTGGGATCTTTGAGGAAGCAGCTTCGGTGGGTGGCACAGGAGCCCAGAGACAGCCCCAGCTCCAGGAGGTGGCCCAGGACATCTTGCGGTGCACCTTCTCACAGAGGTCATCTCCTTCCTCCTCTGACTGTCAAACTGCAGAAAATCAACCCTTCCCCTGATAACCTCTGGTGCTCGCTCCATTTTCACATTCCCCAACCGAGGAGAAAGATGCTGAACTGCGCCCGTGTGTGCCGCCCCAGTAGGCAGGGAGCCCTATCTGCAGAGGTGTTCGTGCACTTAGGGACAGTAGAAGGGCTTACTGGCAGGGGCCGAGTGGCCTGGATTCTGTGGTCACAAATGGGGATCCAGGAACAGGGTGACCTTGGGCAGTTATTTAACCTCTCTGAGCCTTGGTTTGCTACTCAGTAAAATGGAGAGAACAGAAGTCCCCTTCTCAGAGGCCCATAACCGGGGCTTAAGAAATGGCAACCAGCGTGATCAGAGCCATTTCTTAACCTGAGTCTGGGCAGACCTGGAGGGTCGCCTGCCCAGCGTGCAGCAGGTGGGGAGGTGATTCTGACTGGGTTCAGGGGAAGAGCCTGGAACTGAGGGGGGAAAGTACGGTGCCTCCCATGGACTCCAGGAGTGCCCTCTCTCCCCCATCCAGATTCTCCCAGATGGTTCAGGACAAGCCCCTGCGCACATCCTGGCAGCGGAAGATGAAGGAACGGCAAGAGAGGAGGCTGGCCAGGGATTTTGCACGGCACCTGGAGGAGGAGAAAGAGAGGCGTCGGCAGGTGAGGGGCCAGCTGGCCAGGCTGAGGCCGGAGCTCAAGGGCTGAGCTCTGCTATAACAGGCCTGGGGGAGGGGAAAGCTGGAACAGGTGGGGCGAGGGGAGACTGGCTGGGCCTTTCCAGAGCCTGAGGGCACAGTGGGGCAGGAAGCCTGGCAGGAAGCAGCAGCACAGTCTGGGGCCACAAGGGACCAGATGGACTGGCCAGTTTAGCCTGGGGCTCTACATGCGGCTCTAGGATGGGGAAGAGGTCCCGGAAGAAGCCCCGGAGTGGCCCACTGGTGATTGGAATTTCTCCTGAGGTAGGGTTGGGGGGTCCCTGCTCAAGTGGGCAATGCTTACAGGTCAGAAAACCTTACCCTGGTATTGTGACCGTCATTCTTTAAGAGGTGGCTGCCACACATCAGCAAAGTGGTCACCCACGCTTTCCTCGTTTTCTCCCTGATACTCATCCCAGGGCCAGATGCCCCAGAGAGGCTCACACCCAACCTCTTCAGTCCCCAGGAAGCCCCAGCAGGCCACACACAGAGAAAGTGAAGCATTGGCATTGGCTAGTGCCTGCTCCCCTAGAACCAGGGTTCTCGGCGGGACATCACTCACCCGGTGATCCCAGGGGCACAGGAGGAAGCAAATACTTTGCTCCAGCCTGTGGTTGCAGCCTGGCCACTGAGGGGAGGAAGCCAGTTACTCGGTCACCTGTCCCGCTTTGAGTCGCCCTGCGTCAGCCTATGGCCGAGGTCCTCTAGAAGGTGTGGCTGCCCCCTGCTGCCCAGGCCTTATCTTACTTCCTGTGTGGCCCTGGCCCCCTCTTGAGCAAGACGGCCTTTCTCACTGTTGTCTTCAGAGCTCTGCCTGCCCAGCCCCCAGCCCCGGCCACTCCTGACTGCAGGCCCAAGTCTTCCTTCTCGTTCTCTCCAGGGGCCTAGGCCACCCCTGCTCCCCTGAGTTACCAAAGCCAAGAGATGCCCCAGCTCATGCAGTGGCCTCAACACCCACATCCTACCCTGGCCCCATGGGGGACAGCAGCCAGCAAAGCTAACAAATCATGGGGCATCCTGTTCCCAGGGCCATCTCTGTCTAGGTTCCCCTTCTCAGTGGTCGTAGTGGGCCAGGCGACATTCCAAGTCCACTACGTGTGTTCATTCATTCCTCAGAACAGGCTTATGTGGTCATTCTCACTTTAAAGGCGGGGTCCGTTGAAGCACAGAGAGATTAAACGACTTGGCCAAGGTCACCTGTCTAGGAAGTAGCAGAGTCAGGATTCAAACCAGAGCCTCTGGCTCTGCAGCCCCCGCGTTTCCCAACCCTCGACCTGGGCATAGGGACTTCAGGGGCGGAGAAGGTGGGGATGAGGGAAGAGCCCGCCCCTTCTCCCTGGCAGCAGAGGAGGGAGTGGTTCCACCGGCCACTGTCTACATGTGCCTTGAGTTCCCAGGTGTCCAGCCACCCATGTCTGAGTCCCCGGGCCGCATCAAAGCCCCTGTCCTCAGCTGTGGTCCAGACACCCGCCTTCTCAGGTGGGGTCAGTACCTTCCCACCGTGGAGGGCTTTGGTCCCAGGGGACAGGAATTGTTCCTCCCCCGCACCCACCCACATACCACCAGGGCCCTGGGAGTAGAGGGCCCTTCCCCTCCTCCCTGGGAATTCTGCTGGCTCTCACTCCTTGGACGCCTCAGAGACCAGAGCTGCCTCGGCTCCCGGACCCAGATCCCCTTCCCCTGTGCGTTGCAGGAGAAGAAACAGCGCAGGGCCGAGAACCTGAAACGCCGCCTGGAGAACGAGCGCAAGGCAGAGATAGTCCAAGTGGTGAGTGTTGCCTCCTAGGGGTCTGGGTGTTGTGTTCCTGCCCCCGCACCCCTGCCTCTTGTCCCCGCTCTGTGCCGAGATCCCAGGCCTCCCCTTCCCTGAGGAACAGGGCGGGGACTCCAGTCACAGTGATGCCCTCCCCTCACACACCTGCAGATCCGAAATCCCGCCAAGCTCAAGAGGGCCAAGAAGAAGCAGCTGCGCTCCGTCGAGAAGCGGGATACTCTGGCCCTGCTGCAGAAGCAGCCGCCTCAGCGGCCAGTGGCCAAGGCCTGAGCTCGGGACTGCCCGGAGGCCTCCTGCAGCCAACCATCATGTCAGACCGTGGCACCATGGTCGCACAACTCCGCCGGACCCAGCACCCCAACTCTAGCTCCAGCACAGGGGCCCCACTCCAGATTGGGCTCCGGCTCGGAGCCTTTGAGGGCTCTTAGTCAGGTCTTTGTGAGACAGGGGCCCAGAGGGAGCCTGGGACCTGGCAGAGATGAGGGGCTGGGGCAGGGGAAGAGGTTCGGCGCCCTCCTGTCTGCTTCTCTCCTTCTCCAAGTGCCTTCAGACCAAGGAGAATAAATTCTTCCGGTTTCTTAGGGAGCTAGTGACTGAGGAGTGACTCCCCTGAATGCACAAGTTCTGTGTCAAGGTCCTGGGTCCACCCAGGCCAGGAGGCCCTCAGTCGGGATCCAGCTCCGCCATACCTTCCCAAAGCCTACTTTGGGTACCTCTGCACTGTACTGACCCCTCCCCATGCTGAATCCAGCTCCACCCTCTTTTTTGCAACAGTGAAAGGTGAAAGTGCAAGGTTGCAGGGAGTGGCATTTCTCTCCAGCCCGCTCTTTCCTGTACCAGCCCCTGCAGGAGCCCCACAGGTCTGACTGTCTGGCGCCAGTCCTGCCTGCGACAGACATATTGACTGACCACCTGCTGTGTGCAGGCCCAGGTCTAGGTTCCCAGGAATACAGGCAGAAGTCCCTGCCCTTGAGCTTTCATTCTTACAGAGAAAACATAATAAACTAGTAAAATTTATTGCATGTCAGGCAGTGAAAATGCTATGAGTAAAGCAGGGGAGGGGTTGGAGGGAACCAGGGCAGGGTGCTATGATGGGATGTTTGTTCTGCCGGCTGGACAGCTGCTGTCCAGTGCGCTGGGCCCTTGCAGTGGGTCGGCCCTGCCCAGGACTGGGAGTGAACCTTAAGCCAGCGTGCCCAGCCTGAGGTTGGCTCAAGGAGCACCGGACCAAGGTCCCAAGAAAGTCTCTCATCCTGGCTCTTCAGTCCTGTTTCATCCACCAAACATTTCCCAGCGCCAGCTCCGTGCCAGGTGCTGGGATACGGATCCGAGAACACCAGTCTGACCTCGAGTCCACGGCAGGCGGAGGAGATGGACGTGGTGCTTCGGACCTTCTGTGACAGGCATACCAGTGGCCCCTCACAGCTGCAAGCAGGAGCAGTTGCCAACCCCTGTGTGGTCAGGAGGTGGGTGCTGCAAAGATCTCAGGGTGGTCTGCCCTGCCCACAGAGCGTGCCACAGAACACGGGCACCCAGAGGCGTCACGTGCTGTGATCTCGGCAGCCGCTGTGCATGTTAGAATGCTCATGACTGAGAAGACAGGGTGCCCACCACAGTGTGGTTAGCCCTGGTTTCCCAAGCCCTTGACCATGGCATGGCATGGCTTTGCTCTTCCCGCCCTGTAAACACTGAACAAGGCTGGGCCAGAGGGAAGTGGTGGAGTCTCCCACACAGTTGCTCTCTTGCTCCCTTGGGTGTGTCAGGGTGTTTTGCCATTAAACAGTCAATGAACAAGTAATGCTGAGCGGTCAGCATGCCAACCCTGCACCTTGATGTGCCAGTCCGTGAGAACTGGGGCTAACAACCTACCCCTCGAGAATGTGGCATGAAACATCCAGCCTGACAGATGCTGGGTAGACGGCTCACAGGAGGAGGCCAGACCGGAACAGGGTTCCCCAAACCCTTCTCACTTGCCTATCCCCAAAAGGCATCCCTGGTGTCGTGTACAAGTGTCCTCTTCCCCACAGTCACTGGTGAAGCTGAGCTCCAGGGAGGTGCATCCCGTGTGCCTGTGGGGGCAGCCCGCAGCCCTGGTGGGGGAGTCTCAGGTGGCCTTAACCCAGCGTTCCCCCAGGTGTGGCCCCCCCAGGTGTGGCCCGTGGCCCAGCAGCGCTGATGTCAACTCCTGGGAGCCTGTTAGAAATGCAGCATCTCTGCACCCCATCTGCCCACTGTATCCTCAGGGGGCCTGTGCGCAGTGAAGTTTGCAAAGGCTGCTTTAACCCCATTTGTGAAAAGGCTTCACCGAGTCACACTGGACACTGCAAAATGCAGACTCCCGGGGCCCGCCCTTCGGACTGAGCTCTGGGGCCGGACCTGGACTATCTACGTTCTAACGGTGGTGCCTGCAGGATGCTTTGGTGCTGGACCGCGGCCTTGCCTTTGCCTTTGTCTTCCAGTGAGAATGGCAAGGCGGCCCCGAGCCTCTAAGCAGAGGTGGTGCTCGGCGCCCGGCTCAGGGGGCCCTTCTCCTCCTGGGACCCGGCCCGGGCCTTCGCCGACGACGGTGCGGCGCGGCCGCCAAGCAGCCAGTCCAGCAGGCGCTGGGGCCTGCGCGGGCGGGGGACGATGGCGGTGGTGGAGGAGGCGCGGCGCCGGCGGCTGCTGCCCGTGGTGAGGTCGCTGTCGTCCACCAGCACGCTCTCCAGCACGCTGCGCAGCGAGCGCCGCAGCTTGCGCAGCAGGTCGGGGCAGGTGAACACGTAGAGCAGCGGGTTGATCACACTGTTGATGAAGGCCAGGCTGGTGACGAAGGGCAGCCCGCGCCACACGAGCGGCCGCAGCGCCTTGTCGCTGTGCGCGCGCGCCTCCAGCAGGCTGAAGACGTGGTAGGGCCCCCAGCAGAGCGCGAAGGCCGCCACCACGGCTGCCACCAGGCGCACGAAGCGGCCCGACCGCCGGCGACCGCGTTGGCGCAGCTGGGCGCTCACGGCCGCGTGGCTGGAGGCGATGATGACCAGCGGCACCAAGAAAGCCAGCAAGAACTTGCTGACGGCCAGGGCCACCTGACGCGAGTTGCATGTGGCCTCGGGGTCCGGCCCGGGCTTGAGGAGCAGCAGGTTGTAGTAGCACATGATGCGCCCGTCGACCCGCGGGATGGTGTCCCGGAACACGAAGTAGGGCACGGTGTTGATCACGGCCAGGGCCCAGAGCACCAGGCAGACCCTGTGGGCCGCTCCCACCGTGCGGTGGTTCTGCGCCCACACGGGCCGCACCACCTGCAGGCAGCGGTCCAGGCTGATGGCGCTGAGCAGGAAGCCGCTAGCGAACATGTTGAGGAAGAAGATGGAGGAATGCAGCTTGCAGAAGGTGGTGCCCAGCTCCCACGAGTGGCCCACGGCCAGGAAGTAGGTGAAGAAGGGGAGCGTGGCGGTGGCCAGCAGGTCGGACAGCGCCAGGTGCAGCACCCAGGTGGTGATCACCGTCTGGCGCATGCGGCAGCCCACCAGGAAGAGGATGAGCCCGTTCTCCACCAGGCCCAGCAGGGAGGCCAGCCCGTGCAGCACCACCGACACGTGGTCGATGTAGCGGATGCTGGAGTTGCTGTGCTTCTGGAGGCGAGTCATGTCCTCTAGGATCGGGCAGAGCAGCTGCGCCGTGGCGTTGGTCGACATGGCGCGGGCTGCCATGGAGAGAAGGAGGCGCTGAGGTGGGCGGGGCAGCAGGGACCCTGGCCAGGAGCCGGCAGTCTGGCTCATGGGTGTTATTGATGAGCCCCCCTTCAACCCGGGACCGTGAAGGCCAGCCAAGGCAACAAGGTGGGGGGGCGTGCCTCTCAGCTGCCCCATCTGCTAACGGTGCCACCTTGAGCAAGCCATTGACCCTTCAGGAGTCAGCATCCCTCTCTGCCCACGGACCTCAGTCGCGACAGGACCTACCTCAGAGGGGTGCTGGGAGAATTAATTGGACAAACCTGTGTAAGTATTTAGAACAGAACCTGGCACACAGTGACCCTACATCAATGTCCTTGTCACTGTTGTGAAGCAGGTAGCCTAAGATCACATGGAGAAATAGGAACAGGGTCAGGCCAGGAAGGACTGACTCCTTTGCACAGTCCCTGGGGCCCTGAGGCAAGACTGAGGCCTCACCTCAAGGGCAGGCGGGTTCAGCTGGCCTGGCAGACGGAAGGAGCGGGTGCCTGTCCTCCCCCCACCCACGGCACTCCCCACCCAGACCTTGGCTCTCTGCAGATTCTCCTTGGAGCCCTTTGCTCCCACAGTGGTGGCTGATTGGGTGTGTTGGCTGCAAACAATGGAGCCAGCCCCTTCTCTGATAATCAAAGAGGAACTAAGATAAGACTGGGGAGAGCTGAGCTGGAGGAACCACCAGATTGGGCCTAAGGACACCCAGTAAAAAGACCTCTGCCCCGCCCGGATGAAAGCTGCGGCTGCCCCGCCTGCCCCAGGAAACCCAGCCTGTCCATTCATTTATTCTGTCACCCATGCACCCATAAAACAGACATTCATTGAGCAACTGCTCAGGGAATCGTGGCAGAAGCCAGCCTCTGGCAGGCAGGCAGACCCCCCAGATGTGCATGCCCACAGGCTCATCAAAAGCACAAAAACATCTGATGTGAAGCTGGTTGAGACTGGTGAGGGCTGAGGAGGTAGGAGACAGGTAGCAAGGGTGGGGAATTCGGATGGTCTCAGTCCCTCCCAGCACGCCAGGACTGTGGTAGGTCTCTCGTATGGGTGCTCTCTCTTGCTCACAGCTCTACAGGGAAGATGCCAGTATGTCTCTCCATCCCATTTTGCAGATGAGGAAACTGAGACTCGAGTGTTTAAATAACTTGCCCAAAGCTACCCGGACAATACAGACATGTAGATGAGGAACAGTCTAGCACTTGGCCCACTTTCTTTTCTCTCTGCTCTAAGTAAGAGATGGTGGAAGAAGATGGGAAGGAAAGAGGATGGAGGGTGCTCTTCAGGATTTGTCTCTCCAAGTGAAACACTTTTGTCCATGACTAGAGAATCTCCAGGGACTATGTTCTTTTGTAAAGTGAGGTCCCAGGGTATCACTCTAGAATCTTCCTGGCAGATGAGCCCCTCGGAGCCAGGGATCTGCAGGCAGGTGGGTGGGGAGCAGCAGTTGGGCCATTGCTCCCTGAGAATGCTCCTAATTCCTTAAGTTTAGAGCTTGTGGAGCAATTGCACCAACGATGACCCTATGAGACCCCATTTTTCAGAAAAGGAAACTGAGTTTTGGAGAAGCAACTGGCCCGACGTCCTTAGCGGCGGTGGCGGAGCTGGGACAACACGGCCAGCAGACAGACCAGTGCCATCCCCTCTCTGCAAGTCCAGCAGCTGCTTGTCCAAGTCCCATGGGGACACTCAAAGAGCACAGTCCTGCTGCACCCTGGGAACCCACCCTGATCAGTTCTCTGGCTGCACACAGCCCTGAGCCTGCCAGGATTCTGAGGGAGCCCAGCAGCGAGGGTCTTGTTCGGGGAGGGGGCTGTGGGCAGAGATGCAAGCTTTTGGAGTCAGAGACTTGGGTCTGAATCCCGGCTCCTCGACTGCCCAGCCGGGTGAACTCGGGTCAGTTCCCCTGAGACCCTTGCATAATCCTAGTTAACGCCGAAGAAAATGCAGCCCCCTCTGAGCAGCAGGTCCCCCCAAGTCTTTGGTAAGCCCAGCCCTCTGCCATCCTAGCTGTTAACAGCTCTCTTCTCTGGTAAAACTGCACCTTCTCTCATGGGTCCAGAGGGGGCACTTGGGCTGCCCAGTCCCCGACCACTTCCTCCTTACCTGGGCACAGCGGGAGGGAGCACAGGATTCCAGCCCTGGAGGCAGTCCGCTTCTGGTGGCAGCTGGGCAGGAGGCGCTGGGCAGGAGGAGGCTGAGGGAGGAAATCGCTCTCAGACCCAGACTGTATGCATGTGTATTTAAGGGCGGGGGGGGGGGGGGGGGGGGGGGCGGGGACAGCCGGAGAGTGAGCTGCCACACTGGTGTTCAAGCAGCATTAATCTCCATTGATGGGGAAGGAACACGACCTCTGGCGGCCCCTGCTCACCCCTCTCCCTGTACAGCAGCCAGTGCAAGTACACGTGGGGAGAAAGGTGTGCGCCCAGAAGTGTGAGCCCCGGTGTGCAGAGGGCCGTGCTTTTAAGGGAGGCTGGCGTGTAGGGGAAGGGCAGGGGGAAGGGACAGAGCACTCTGTGGCAGCCCTAGGATGCTGATATGCCGTTGCTGCTTCTGTGAGGACTAACTGGTGTATTAGTTAATAACAACAGAAAGTTGCCCTGGCCGGTGTGGCTCCGTGGACTGAGCTCTCTCTGGTCTGTGAACTGAAAGGTCGCCGGTTCAATTCCCAGTCAGGTTCAAATCTGCACTTGCCTGGGTTGTGGGCCAGGTCCCCAGGTGGGGGGTGTGAGAAGCAAATGACCACGTTCCTCTTACATGCTGATGTTCCTCTTCCCCTCTTTCTCCCTCCCTCTCCCCTCTCTAAAGTAAATAAATAAAATCTTTAAAAAAAAAAAAAAAGAACAGTGAAACAGGCAGTGAGAATGGCCACCACTGGTAACGATGGACCCAGAGGGCCCCTCTGTGGGCTGAGTGTCCAGCACCGGACACTCATTCAGTTCAGCAAACACACGGTGGAGCCCTCCCAGATGTCCGACCCTCTGCTTGGTTTGGTGATGAAGAGATAAAGTAGAGGAACGGTCTCTGTCCCCAGGCTGCTATCATCCAGGTGGGGAGCACGTGTGTAAAAGAGTTACCATGGAGGACAAAGGCAGCCGGATCTCCGGTGAGGCAGCGAGAGAGAGGAGTGGTGGGTAGGTAGAGTCTGTTAGGGAGGATCACTGAAGGCTTCCCGGAGGAGGCAACCTCTGGCGAGGGCTTTGAAGGGTGAGCAGGAGTCCACCACGAGGCCAAGAGAAAGAATGGGGTTCTAGAGCAGGGAGCACACTGCATGAACAAGGGCACAGAAACAGCCCGGTAGGGACAGGCTGTGGGGAGGTGGTGACGAATACTGACTGATGGTAGCGTGTGATCAGGGGCAGCAGAAATGAAGACGGTGGCGTGGGCAGGGCCAGGTCCCTGAGGGGCTTTCTGGCCATGCGGGGGGGCCCTGGGCCTCCCAGTGTCCTGTCACGCTGCCCCTCTGCCGCGTGCTGGGGACTCTGGGGTGTCCTGCGAAAGGGGCCGGAGGATTCCTGGGAAGGCCTCACCTGCTTCCTGCCCCGCAATGTCCTTCCTGTGTGGTCGACTCCCCTCTTCCTCCTCCTCCTTCTGCTACTTCTTCTTCTTCCTTTAAATAGGAGACAGTTTATTTAGAAAGTCACGGAGCTGGAAGAGGTGAGCCATAGAAGAAATGAGCTCAGGAAACAAGTTACAGCGAAAGAAGGGCCCCTGGAGCCTAGGGGGGAACACACACCTTGAGAGACTGAAGAGGGAGGAGAGGTTCGGTGTGGCCCAGAGGAGGGGGCACCTGGGGAAACGAGGGGGTGGGGACAGGTGCAGGTGTGCTCCATGGAGAGAACTGCCTGCCTGACTTCTAGAGAGGCCAGGAAGGAACATGAAAACCCACTTCCTAAGGCGGGGTGGAGGGAGACACCTGGAATTGGTCGAGACACTGGCCCATTCCCTTGACTGTCTGTTAAACACACTTGATGCCATGAGCATCCTCTTCGGAGCCCAGAGACCCTGCTGATCCCAGAAAGGCATCCTGCAGGGCGGGGTTCGGGTGGGAAGAAACACACTCCAGGCAGTGGTCACAGCACATGCAAAGGCACTGAGGTGGTGCGTGGAGGGAATAGCTGGGGGCGAGGGGAAGGGTGCAGGGACCGGCGGGCGGTGTGCTGGGTACGAGAGGCTCTGGGGGTCTGGACAGGTCCCAAAGGCAGCAGAGAGCCCTCGGAGGCCTGTTAGGCTCAGATATGTCTCCCCAGCTGCTGCAGGTGAGGTGGATGCAGAGATGGACCGGGCTTTGGGTCTTCTGGTGGACATCGAGTTCCAAGCTCTGGAGAAGGCTGCACTTCAGGGACCAGGGCCTGTGCCCTGAGGGTAGCTATGTCTCTTTCTAGACCCTGGAGGTCCCCGGACAGGGCTGGGTGGGGCTGGGGCTGAAGACCCTCCTCTCATCTCCCTGCCAGCCACTCATCCCAGTGCTCAGAGAAGCCAGGCGGGGACGCCAGCTTCCCCGGGCCCCTGTCTCTCCCGTTAGTCTATGACCCCTCCGGGTAGGCCCCAGCTGCCCTGGCAGCTCCAACAAGGCACATGTCCCTTCCCTCTCCTCCCCCAGGCCCACGGAGGCCCCCACATCATGGCAGACAACGGCAAGACACCAAAACGGTGGTATCTGGCTCTTCACTGCAGCAGCTTCTGAGCGGAGCCCTTCACTCCTCATGTCCCCCCATCCTCCCAACAGCAGTGGGGGGCCCTGCCCTGTCAGCTCCTGCTCCCCACCAGGACCTGCTCCCGGCTCTACCCGAGCACCTCAGACCCACGGACGCAGAGTCCTCCACCCCAGTGAACCCCGCAGCATCGCCACCCCCTCCCCCAAACTTGACACAAACGCAAGTGGCCAGGCAGCATCTCCTGGATCATCAGACACATTGGGGTTTGGGCCCAGCAGTCTGGGTTTAACAAGCCCTCCAGACGGTTCTGATGATGCACACTGAAGCTGAGAACTTTAGGCCTTTGCCAAAGGCCCCCGCTGGCTTTCCTCTGGACTCTGAGCTCTGTGAGGGCCCGTCCACCTGGCAGTCATGACGTCCTGCCTGCAGCAGCAGCCTCCACAGAGGTTCTCTGCCCAGACGTTCTCCTTCCTAGACTCAGCCTGGGCTGGGGTCAGACTCAGTCCCCGGGTTGCTGGAGACTCCTATCCTCTGCTTCCAACCAGCAAGCCCCACCTAGACCTCTGCTGCTCAGGGTCTGCAGTGCCGCTCTGGGTCCCGACACCCAGGGAGGAGGCCTGACCTGCCGGTTCCCACGGTTCCCACGGTTCCCACGGCGGGAGCACAGCTGAGGTTCCCCCACAAGAACAAACATCTCACTGCCTTTTTCTCTAGAAAATGCCTTAGGGACCTGCACCCTGGAGGCCCCAGGGGGATCCCGTTGGCCCTAATATGGAGTTGCTGAGTTCCCAACATGCTGACTGAATGTCTCCAAGGTGCTGGGACATTGCAGGAATGCTCCTTGACCCCCAGAAGCCTCGTCAGCAAAAGGGAGCAAAGACTGGGGGAACAATTAGATGCAAACTTACACAGTTCAGCCATTGCCATCTTGTCCTAGGGCTTGGAACACACTTTAAATAAAAGCTATATTGCCCTTGTCCTATGCCTATGCCCATTGCTCCTCCAGAGGGAAAACAGGTTTTTATGAGCACCTACTGTGTGCCAGGTGCTTCATGAATAAGGGCACCTCTTGGCACAGCCCATGAGGCCGATGTTGCTGCTTCCTTCACAGAAGGCAAAGAGGGTCTGAGCCAGGGGAGTGGCTTGCCTCCTGCCAGGGCTGCAGAGACAGGAAGGGTAGCTGGGGCCCCAGCCCCTCCCACTGCCCCACCCTGCCTTCCTGGCCAAGGAGCTCTCAGGGGTCCCTTCCAAACAGGCGCCCACACTGCCCAGCTGCCTCAAAGGGACGGAGGGGTTGCTTCTCTGAGGATCACAGGGTCAGAAACGTATTCCCTCGCAGTTCTGGAGGCCGGGAGTCGGGAATCTTGGCCCCAGCAGGGCCGCCTCCCTCTGAGGTCTCCAGGGCAGGACCCTCCCGTTCCCTGCTGGGCGCCGCATCCCTCCAGCCCCGGCCTCCCCTTCACACAGACACCTTCCTCTCCCTCCACATCTCACCTAAGGACGTTTGTCATTAGTCACTGGATTTAGGGCCCATCAGCTAACCCAGGGTGATCCCTCCGGAGACCTCTAATTACACTTGCAAAGGTGTTACCTTTCTCTAAGTGAGGTAACATTCACTGTTTCCAGGAGTTAAGATGTGGAGCTTTGGGAGGGCACCACTCCACCCGCTTTGGTTTATGGAATGAAGCCCAACCCACTGAGACACACCAAATGGGGAAATTATTTATTTATTATTTATCTATTTATTTATTATTTTAAAGATTAAAAATTTTTTTATTTATATTTAGAGAGAGAGAGAGGAAGGGAAGGAGAGAATCATCAATGTGTGGTTGCCTCTCGTGTGCCCCCAAGTGGGGACTCGGCCCGCAGCCCAGGCGTGTGCCCTGCCCAGGAATCAAACTGGTGACCTCGCGGCCTGCAGGCCGCTGCTCAATCCACTGAGCCACATCAGCCAGGGCAAATAACTAAAAAAAAAATAATAAGTTGATCATTGTCGTGTTCTCACGATTACGACCAGCAGACCGTTCTCCGCGCTTTGTGTGGCTTTACTCAGTCCTCACACCACCCTAACAGCCGGGCTTGTCATCAGCCCCATTGCACAGTGAGGAGGTCGAGCCGCCAGCCAGGTAACTGGTTTCTCCGGGGTCACTGCTGCCTGAGTGGAGGAGCGGGGTTCGTTCCCGGGTTAACAAGCTCTGGATCGTAACCAAGGGCTCAGGGATCCCTCTCTGCGGGACGGTTTGGCTGGACTTTTCTCAAAGGTCCTTCTGCCCTTGGCCATGAGAAAGCCCCTTTGCTCTTTCTCTGCCTGTCCAAGGGCCTTGGAAGAGACACTGTGCTCATGGGTAAGGTTTATGGCCAGTTAGGAGACACCTTGCTGTGTATTTGCCTAATTCCATCCCCTGCAGGGTTGTCCCCGCCCCTATTTTACATAGATGGGGAAAGGTCCCATCGCTCCTGAGCAGTGAACACAGGGTGGAATCCCAGACCTCTCAGCCCCTCCGGCTACCACTCACCCCCGCCCCCTGCACCCCCTCCCTGCCCCAGGGAAAGCTCTGGGTTAGAGGAGGAAGCAAATAAATACAGAAGGAGTGGTAGAGCCACTGAGAAGCGGGCTAATTGCATAGCCTCAAAGTCTCTCCCCAACAGATACTTTCTATTTACGAAGAGAAACACTGAAACCTGGCAAACCGAATCCTACCCACGTGACCGTGGAATCGCCATCAGCAGTGCTAGGACCAACCGTATGAAGAGCCTTCTGCCGAGCAGAACATCACACCACTTCTGGGGTGGCCCTGACTGTTCAGGGCTGCACTGTGCCGCCCCCCCCATGCCCGCCCCCCGCTTCCCCTTACCCATATGTTGCAACCCTAACCCCTAGGACTTTGGAGGTAGGACATTTATGAGGTGATCATGTTAAAATGAGGCCCTTAGGGTGGGCCCCCTTTCAGTCTGACAGGTGGCCTCGTGAGAAGAGGAAGTCTGAAAACACAGAGACGTAGACTTCCAACTTCCAGAACGATGAGACAATAAGAGTCTGTTTAAGCCTCCCAGTCTCTGGGAGTGTGTTAGGGCAGCCCACACAAACTAATAAACTGCCCCAAATGCCCAACCCGAATCTAAGCAGGTGGAAACAGCAGATAAACACAGATGAGGGCCGTTCTGCAAAGCAACAGGCCTGCGTGCCTCAAAAATGCCAAGGGTCTGAAGAACAGTCACAGAGGGAGCGTCCTGCATTGGAGGAGGCTAAGGAAACCCGATCCTGACCTTGAACTGGGTCCCGCTGAAGGAAAAGCAGAAAACAAAACACTTTCTCTTTGGCTTCAAAAGTCATCACTATGGCCATTGATGAGTGAGTTAAGGTTGGGAGATTACACAATTGTGTTATAGCATTGCTGATTTCCTGATTTTTATCTTTTTACTGTGGTTACTTGTTTTTAAGAAATATACACTACAGGCCTTATAGGGTAAAGGAGGATTTAGTTGTGTCTGCAACTAGCTCTCCAATGGTATGGAAGAGTGTGTGTGTGTGTGTGTGTGTGTGTGCACAGAGAGAGAAAGGAAAAGCCAGCACGAATGTAAAAAGACGTGATTAGCTAACGTCAGAGGACTTGGGACGAAGGGCACACAAGTTCGCTGCAGTGAGCCTGCAATCACTTCAAAACCAGAATTCGTAAACCTCTGCTGTCCCTCAGGGAGAATTCGCCTCACCATCCCCTCCGCCCTGCAACCGCGTCTCAGACCCGGGCTTGCTCTTCCCTCTCCCAGAACACCGGCCTGCTGGAAGCCCCGGTTTCCAGACTCTCTATGTCCTCCTGTCCCCAAATTCCCCGCACCTCGACACGGCACCCCCCCATGCCCCCCCCCCCCCCCGCTGCTCATCACCCTGTTGGTGCAGAAACATTCCACCCCCACCGCCCACGGCCTCCGCTGGCTCTGCTCCCACAGCCAA